AAGATAATTAAAAGCTCAGTTGCATAATTAAAGGTATCTATTCAAGCTAAGACTAAATATAGAATACTTATCGTGAAAAAGTTCTTAGTTAAAATCTTAAATCAGGTTAAACTTACCAAGAGTGCGCACAACATCAGAAACCTCACTCGGGACACTTAACCCATGGGAATTCTCCGCCCGCACTAAGAAAACATAACGAGAATCTGGCCTGAGGTTGTTCACAACAAAGGTTTCCCCTTTCACACGATGTGCTGCAACCATCCAGCCACTTTGCAAGTCACTACTGTAGTATTCAACTAACATAAATCAAGGAAATATAAGAATGTTAAACATAATGACATGCAGAATCCATATTAAGTAAACTGTCACCATTCTCAAAACAGTATCTACTTTTCAAAACCAACAAAAGATGAAAAAACAGATCTTAAAAGAGACAGCTGCTATTGACGAGCTGCAACTGTACTGATTAAAGAACAACCATAACCAATGTTCTACTTTAGTGAAATTTACTCATACTACAGTTGATAACATCTTAAAGATATATCATTGTCGACAGATGTCACTTCACCAGGGAGTACAGTGATTATCACAAGCACATGTGATGCAACTGAGAGGTAAAAGACTGACAGCTCCATATACAAGTTCTATGTTAGGAATTAGATTGAGGTCTTAATGTACATGTAAGTTAGTTGGTAGAACATCAATTTCAAAATGCTCAGGGGGGGGGATCAAGCCAATGACAGCGCATATTGATTTTCATCTAGTCCAAACTATTACAGTACACACGAGTGTGCAAAAAAAGAAGAATGTTGAAACAAACATCTCTGATCAAATTAATTAACTCGGAAATATAACAGTTGAGCTAAATGTTATAATGTATACGAGTGACTTTCACAAGACGATGCATTATAGAAAGACGTAGCAAAAACACCCATGTTAATACAGCACTATGAATCATCAATAAAGAGTATACAATTATAATCTTGTTTTAAACTTTTTGTTTTGAAAATAACCAAAACTTAAAAGTTATGGCAGTCCTCAACTGATTTACAGATCTGGTTTTTATCCGTAAGCTACCATTTCTACCTACATAATTGTATTTGTCATTTGAACAGTTGTGACATTTGATTGTAGATTATAGCTTTCCCATTTTATAAATCAGTTCAAATTACAGTAATATCTTTTTAAACAATCTTATGGGATATTATACTATTAATTGATAAAATTTAAATTGAACTAAATATTAAATCTGTTCTGTGTAACACAATAATGATGAACTTGACCAACTTCAAATGTATAGTAATAATGATGAATTGACCAACTTCAAATGTATAGTAATAACGATGAACTTGACCAACTTCAAATGTATAGTAATAACGATGAACTTGACCAACTTCAAATGTATAGTAATAACGATGAACTTGACCAACTTCAAATGTATAGTAATAACGATGAACTTGACCAACTTCAAATGTATAGTAATAACGATGAACTTGACCAACTTCAAATGTATAGTAATAACGATGAACCAACTTCAAATGTATAGTAATAATGATGAATGTGACCAACTTCAAATACATTTTTTTTCTGTCTACATGATGTTTTAAATAGATTGTGACCTTTTACTTAACCTAATGTCTAGAAACTCTAAGGGAACCAACCTGTATAACCAATCAGGGGTGATTCACCAAGTTTTGAGCTCCGTTGCCATCTCAGCGTGACTGCCGTCTCTGTTACATTGATAGCAGTTGGTTTGCCAGGAGGACCAGGGAAGGTTGATGGGTCAAACATTCGATGGAAAATGGCATTTGGGTTCAGAGGGGCTTAAGAACATTAATTACAAACATTAATTTATTTTAAATACTCATCCTGCAGAAAGTAAAAGTTGGAGACAAATTAAAAAAAAGCAAAAATTTAATAAATACAAATATTTTGTTCAAATAATATCCTTGACAGTAGATATTTTCATACTCTGAAAGTTATGTACAGATTTAGACAGATCAAAAACTAACAAATGGATAAAAATGATAGTCGCATTTAATCAGTTTTCAGATAATCGTTCAAACTCCTCTAGATCTTCAAACATAGTAAACAGTTACAACATTATTTCACATACTTAACTAACAACAATCAACTATAATATATTCAATACAAAACAAAAAATGATGTATGGCCTTTCAGCTCTTTTAAGTTCATAATTTCTTTATTATTTATTAAATAACTACCTCTACACAACTTATAGTAATCAAGTGATTTGTATAAAGGCCTTTCCAAATGTTACATTTAACATTTGAGAGATAACATGGGACCCTTTGGTCCATCATGGTTACTTCATTCATTTTATCACACACTCATCTGCCTTTATCCAGTCCTAACTCCCCAAGCACTCATCACACCTTCATTTGAACTCCCCCAACCCAGTTGTGTATACTACGTCTAAAGGCAATCTATTCCAAGACTGACCACCCTGTTCAAAAAAATTAAACTGCCTAATGTGTAGACCACTTTTATTCTGCCAAATCTTGAACTTATGTTCCCTAGTCCTACAATTTTACAACTAAACACACAAAAAAAGAAGATGCATCAATCCTATCTATTCCGTTTATAATTTTAAACACTTCAATAAGATCCCCTCTAATCCTTCTTTTCTCAAGAGAAAATAATTCAAATGAACTTGACTTGTCCACGTATGACAACTCCTCCATCCCAGGAATCAACCCAGTAATCCCTCATTTGAGCCATTTCCGACTGTCCACGTATGACAACCCCTCCATCCCAGGAATCAACCCAGTAATCCCTCATTTCAACCATTTCCGACTGTCCACGTATGACAGCCCCTCCATCCCAGGAATCAACCCAGTAATCCCTCATTTGAACCATTTCCGACAACTCATTGTCATTCTTAAAATAAAGGACCAAAGACTGAACACGATACTCTAAGTGAGTCATAACCGAAGATTTGTACAACTAAATCATAACCTTCTATGACTTGTATTCAGTATTTTTGTACATACAACTCAAAATCCTACTTGCTTTTCAATTAGCAACAGCACAATAGGCTGATCAGACAAAACACCAAGATCCCCTTCCTTCCATATTAATATCCACCAAGGTGATAATTATAGTTTAAATTATGGTAGCTGATATGCTTTACACCTTACACTTAAAATAATTAAATACCATCTTTTATTTGACCAATGCACCAAATGATACAAATCTCTCTGCAAAACAAAACACCTTCCTCACAGCCAACTACAACCAACACTTTATAAATACCATCTTTTATTGACCAATGCACCAAATGATACAAATCCCTCTGCAAAACAAAACACCTTCCTCACAGCCAACTACAACCAACACTTTATAAATACCATCTTTTATTTGACCAATGCACCAAATGATACAAATCCCTCTGCAAAACAAAACACCTTCCTCACAGCCAACTACAACCAACACTTTAATATCATCAGCACATTTGACCATCCCCTTATTAATACTGTCCATGTATACTGAGAACAGTAAGGGTTCCAACCAAGGCCCCAGAGGTACCCCACTTGCAACTACAATCCAGTCTGATTGAACTCCATTTATTACAGTCTTCCTCTCCTTTAACTAACCCCTAATCCTCCACACCCACAGAGATAACTTTACTTATTACTAGTCATTTATATTGCACCTTGCCAAAAGGCTTCTGAAAATCTAGGTATACCAAATCCACACCATTACCCTCATCAATAGAAGTGGTGATATCTTTGAAGAAGGTCAAAAGATTCATAAGACAAGAGTTTTCCCTTGTGAAATCATGTTGGCTGTCCTGCAAAATTGTAAACTTTGTTAAGTGGCTTTGCAAAACATTTTTAATCAGTTTATCCAAACCTTTGACCACCATAAGAATAAGATTAATTTTCCTGTAATTATCACTACAATGCTCGTCACCTCCCTGAAAAATACATATCCAGCTTCCAGTCTTCTGGAACATGCCTATTACTCAAAGACTCACAAAATATTTTAGTAATGGGTTTATTTATGCAATCCTTAACTTATATTAATATCCTCAGAAAATATTATCTGGCTCAGGAGACAATTTTTTTAATTTTCTAGTTTTTCTTTAACAATCTCATAGCTAATATTAAGTTCCTTTACATCTATCATATTTACTAATATTAATTTCTCAGGATTTGGAATTCTTTTCATATATTATATGGTGAAAACTGAAGAAAATTTAAGCAACTCAATCACCTCGTAATCTTCTGTAACAACAAGGTTGTGTAGAGATTAATTCTTAAAATTCATGTTATGAAAAAGTTTGAGCATGCTCTTTAGTTACTTACATTCAACAGACAAAGAGGCACTCCAAGATGTCTCTCCACTTTCACTGGAAGCAGTACATGTGTACATCCCAGAGTCGAGTGGTTGTAGGTCTAAAAGATCATTGTTAGTTTTGATTAGCTGTACAACATAACTGTCCAATGGCAATATTGTATAATTCATACTTCTTAAGAAGCTTGATATCTGGTAGAAAATTAAAGTATATTATTTCTAATAATTTTGCACTATTTACATTCAATTACACAAAGATAGATATATTCAATATTTTCCATTTTCAAGTGATTTAGTTAAATAATTAAATACTTATTTACGAGCCTTAAAAGCTTAATTTGCTTTTCAAGGTTCAGAAAAACTGCATATTTAAAGATCACAGCATGTGCTACACAAGCATAAATTTATCAGTGGATAAAAATAACACTGACACTTAATATTTTAAAGGAACATATTAAAATGTTTTGCCATTCTACAAACAAACATTAGTTTGTTCGTTGAATTTCACACAAAGCTACTCGAGGACTATCTATGCTAGCTGTCAGTTGGTACAATATAAAAATAAACATTGTGGAACCCATAAAAATAAAACCAACTGTACTGCAAGATCACATTGAAACTGTATTTGTTTTTCCTGTGGCATCATTGAGAATTGTAATTAAAAGTGAATTAATTCATTAATTCACTCATCAATTAGTATGATAGTTATATCTATCGAATTATGACACTTCAGCAAAAAAATTCATACTCAAAATTACTTCCAGAGAAAACAGAGTATAAAGTGACTTTGAGACAACTATCACATGTGTGAGAAGAGATTAAATATTAATTTTTTAAAAAAAAGAGAGATTAAAAACACTCCAAATTATTAATTATGCAAGAACCATTAGTCAATTATTTTGTGTAAGAAAACAAAATATTGTAAAAACAGATTTTTCAACTCTTGAATAGTTTTTATCAATTTTTTTACTTGCCACCTTAATTTAAGTGAAGAACATTATAAGTGGTTATCTCAATCTACTAACCATCAATCTGTAGAGTCCCACTGTCTAGAACAGAAAACCTTGGATTATTAATGTCAACAGCAGCTGACTTAAAAAACCACTGGATAGCAGGAGATGGAACTCCTTCAGCTTCACATGGCAACATGGCCATGGTATTCTGGGGTAGGGTTTGGTTAGCAGATCCCAACCGAATAATTGGAGGAGGTAGATCTGCTACAGCTTCAAATATATATATGATCATAGTCACGTTAAAAAAAAATTCAAATCATTCTAAACAAAAACACTGAAGTTATTTAGAATGTTGTTTATAACTAGAAATCTTATTTCAGAGTATGAGTGTATGAAGCCAAGATATAGAACATTCACTTAGTACATTCTAACATTGAAAAACCTAAAACTAAACTGATTCATACTTCTATTCCTTCTGATTTATCCACAGATCATTATGTTAAAGTGTCAGAAACATCTGAAACTTCCGATGAAACAACATAATTATCTAATTTCAACCAATTCTTTAACATTGTAAGAAGAAAAGATTTTTTGGAATTATTGAAAAGTACAATCTATGAAAGAAGATTTCACTAGTCATAAGTAAAGAGTTAGGTAGGCATAAAGATCACAAATGAGACTTCTGGAATCTCCCAATAAATTGTTGAACATGAACATAACATTTCTAAGTTCCATTTGTAACGCTTTTGTTTTTTTAAATTAAAAAAATTATTCTTATGTACATGTAAAACTAGCTTTTATAAAAAGTTTTGTTTTATGAAGAATATAATTTTAATTCCTTACCAGTGACATCCAGGTGAGCCTTTGTCATTGTTGACTCTACCACAGATAAAGCCGAGCATACATAATAGCCCTTGTCTTCTTTGATGACACCAGAAATTATAAGAGTTCCTTGTGATGTAACTGAAAATCGACCATATGAGTTGCCCGGAAACATAAGCGCCTAAAATTCATTAAAAAAATAATTTGTGTCATGTCAAAGCATAATTTATCTGCTAATGTGAATGTGTAACGAATCACTTATGTGAAGTAATACTAATAAACATGCTTGCAGCAATAGACAAATAGAGTAAGGGTTGATAATAAAAGAGTTAACAGTAACATACTGTACCAGACAAAGTTTTTATACTTAGTTAACAACCACTAGCCACCATGACCGCTTCCTATTTTTTGTGAAAGAAATATTCAGTTCAGTTATAATCGTGTCTTACCTGGTTACCTTCCTTTGTCCAAAATACAGAAGGGGGCGGATTTCCAGTGGCCACACACTCAAACTTGGCAATTCCATTTAGGCCAACTCGTTGATTTTTCGGTCTCACAGCAAAAGATGGTCGAGCTAAGATAACAACGTCTTTAGATTAGGGTAAACTTCATAAGTACAGGTCTTTGAGTTTTCACCACAATAGTAAGTAGAACCCTAGCAAACCTCGTTATGTTAACTTAAAGCTACGTTCACACTGTGGGAACTGTTTCCAAACTTATGGTAAACATATAAAAAAAAAATCATAATTGTAAACAATTTATTATTATAAGTTAAGTCGGAATCCTTTTGGTTAATCACTTGAATGTGTGCGTATTAATACATATTTTTCACGAAAAAAATATCCTAAGGTTTACTTTATAATAAAGTTACTAAAACTATATATAATATGTTGAAAATATGTCAGTAATTTTTCATCCCTCCTCATAAACTTCATGAGTTAATTTCAATATAAAAAAAGGAAAGGGAATTCTGACATTCACATCAGTAACTTTTGATAAATATCCTTAAGGATATTATTATTGATAACTTTTTTCACACCATTTTGAATTTTCAGTAAGCATTTAGATTTTTTTCTGGTATTTAGTATAAATCTCAAGAGTAAACAGTTGTAATAATTAACATTAACTGAAAAATGTGTTGCGAAAATCATGCTATATCATGGCCAAGGCCTCATTAAAACAAATAATAAAAACATTTTGAAAATATAAGGATAATGTAGGGATGACAATGCCAAAAGTACAGAAACATGTTAGGGATTAATACACCAAAGCATACAAAAATCCCTACATAAGTAGCCAAATCTTTCCAAAAAAAAGCTTTTATCCACAACTAAATGTTAAATTCCTCTCATTTGCATGGATTCAGGTTTGAATAAATTTATTAAACTGAATAGTGCTATAATGTCTTACAATGGCTACTTCCCATAAGCTTGTAAAATTGGCTCAGTGACTACTTATGTAAGGATTTTTGTATGGTTTTGTGTATTCATTCCTATATTGTTTGTATACTTTTGGGTATTGCCATCCCTACAACGTCCTTATTTTTGTTTCAAAATGTTTTTATTACTTGTTTGCCCTCTTTTCTTGAACAATTTCATTGAAGTCGGTTGATAAGTGAACATTTGTTTTATTTTTATAATTAAATGGTAATATATATTTGTTTCCCCCTCTTTTAAAAAAACAAACAATATCAATGAATATTAATAAATGGCAGTCGCTACGAAGGCAACAGTTTTAGCCTGACGTGATGAGTTGTCTTGATGGACATCATGTGTTGAAGTTGATGAAACGCTATACTGCTTTTGCACTTCTCATGTTAAAATTTAACATTCTAGTGTGTAAATTATCTCAACAACTTCAAGCATTGGTGAGCTAGTCCTGTTGACTCCAGAATCAGAATATTCAGCAGAACATTTGGCTCTTACGTCTCTCTCCGGTTCTCTATTTTAGCAATGTGTTTGGCTAAACTGAGGGTCTTAATAAATTTTGAAAATCTCGAAAACCTAAGTGAGATGTTTATAAAAGCCTCTTTCATTGTTATAAGAGAGCTTTGAGACAACGATGAGTAATAAATAATATGCGCCGGCCGTTTTTTCCCGGCCCATCCATACATACTAAACACTACCGTGCTTAGTGATAAATTGCTTCACCCATAACTTTGTCCGAACGCTTTATTGCAAACTAGTCCAAATATTTTGAAGTATTTCTAACTGAACATGTGTCACACAAGTTCAGAAACGTTTTGAATCAGATGTTAGCCAGATTTAATCCCATTAAATATGAATTTAGTTTCCTATTACACAGAAGTCCTTTGTTTGAATACATGGACCAAAATATGTCACAGAAGTTTAAAAGATATAGCAATATTCCAGAAGCTTCCATAAAGGTTTTATAATTATTTTCCTTAGGCAAAACCTATCCCATTCTCTAATACAAAACCTCATATCTTTTTTTTTTCCTTCTTACAATGAACAGTTAGAGTTGCTGATGCTGATGCTATGCCAAATGTATTCTCGGCTTCGCAGATGTAAAGTCCTTCATCCTCAGTTCTGACATGTGAAATTTTCAGACTTCTATCTTCTTGAATCTGAGCTCTAAAGGTGAGAATAAGAACAAGGGCGCATTGAAATATAGTAAGTATTACAGGAAAAACCTACAACTTATATTTGAAAGTTCGCTGAAAATAAAAAAAGTATAATTGTAACATTAAGTCAAACAAATATTTAATGAGCATTCCGGTTTTATTTATTTATTTTTGCATATTTCTATCTGAATTGTGATTTGTAAGTCAGTACTGGAATGGTAAAGTACATAATCGAATACTTGTAGCTTTGAATATTGTACCAAAGTATATATATATGTTAAGTTTTTCTAAAACCAACAAAGAGGTTATTAATATCTCTAATAAAATAATGTTAAGTTTTCCTAAAACCAACAAAGAGGTTATTAGTATCTCTAATAAAATAACTATGAAAAATTATAAATTGATTTGGAACCTAACTCACTGAAAAAAGCAAGATTATGGTCAGTCAAAAGGGCAAATTATTCAGAGGCCCATGTCATAGTAGTATACTAATGGACAATACAATTTCTTCTTAAATCAGTGTTAAGATTTTCTAATGAATAATTGATAGTAGTTATTCAGTTTATTTTCCAAGCCAATCGTTATTATGGAGTATTTATTAATTGACAATGTAACTTCGACCACCGTTAGCAAGTAGTGCAATATAGGTTAGGACGCTTGCCGATATGTGAAGACTTCTAGTTCGTAAAGCGACTCTTTAACATCTTTTTTCATGAAGTTAAGAGCCCTATATAATTCATTTGTGAGAGAAACTAACTATTTATATATATGGAAATCCTTTATTATCTTTTAATGAAAATTATTATTAATTGATACGAAGTATTTTATGTATGAAATCTTTCGTATCTATTATTCTATTTTTCCATATGTGTTAATTTTTAATTTAGTTCAGCACCGTGTAGCAAACGGGGAACAAAATCGTAGAATAATATTGATGTTTGTTTAAAAAAAAACGTCAGTAGTCAACAGAAAATGACGAAATAATTTTATACATGAACATTCTTATAGCAGAGCTCCTAAACAATCATAATTTATTTTAGTTGTTTCTGCTTATGGTGTCAAAAGTAGCCACTAGATGGCAATACAACCAACATGCTAAACCACTTCTAATCACAAAAGTATAAGATATATTATTTACAAGTGCGCTTTAATTAAAAGCGTTGAATTGTTGAATAATATTAATTAACTGAGCAAATAATGAAAGACATGTAACCAAAAACAGGTTTTTAAAATGCAACACACATAACACCAAAGTGATTAAAGCACCCTCTGATGCTTATTTAAGAAGTTATGTTAAAATAAATAATTTTGTTTTCGCACAAAGGCCTGTAGGTATGACCTAAACACGGCATATCAGGACTGTGAATCCGAGGATTCATGGTTCGTGACAAAACGCTAAAAAAAAAACACGTTCCACATATTGGGGCGGTGGGTGTGCTGTAACAGTGGTGGCAAAATTCAGAATATAATATAAGACAAGAGTACTGATTGCTACTGACGGACCAGCCTTCCCTCTAATCTATCAATTCAAAGTTAGGGACGGTCTTGTGCAGGTATCCTTTTTTTTTGTTGTTTTTTGTGGCTTTGCGCGAAATTCTGAAACACAAAGAAGTTTCCACACACATACATATACACATAATTTTGTTTAATGATTAATGAACTGTTTAGGAATTTTAGATGGCTGTTTTTTGCGCCATACAATTCTCAACTAAGACTTCTATTTTCGAATTTTAATTACAGTTATAGAATCCACACACTAAGCCTACAAATTATGTTTCAATTACCGAACAAATAAATAATTACGTTTAATTCTATATCAACTTTTTTCTTTTCGATTGTATTAACGAGAAACTTCGAAGAGAAAATATTCTGTTTAAAATACGAATTTATAGACAGTAATAAGCCCAACACAATGTTCTTCAATCACTTGTACTCCAATTAAGCAGTGTTGAATCCAGACCGATCCACGTGGGGATGAAACTGTGGGAATAAATTAAAATTCATCTTCGATA